GCTGCGTCCAATTCAAATTTCCATTTGATTCTCCATTATAATAGCTTCCATTTTCTTTTCCATTATCCCCATACCCCCTAAGCCCTAAACCCCCAATGTAGCCCATATTGGGGATGGGAACAATGGAGCCATGGCCTGGAGCTTTTCCTCGGCTCGGCGTTGCTGGGCTTCCCTCACGGCGGCCTTGACAAGAAAGGGTTTAGGCACACTCGAAAAAGGGGGAACTGGGGGTACCACTTCGGGAGTCCCTATTAGAAGGACTATTCATACATTGGAGTCTATATTGGGGAGCCCTAGGCAACTAAGCTGGAGGTGTTCCATGCAGCATCCTCCGCCGTGGAAATTCTCTCTTTGCGATGTGTTGCGAACTTGATGCCGTCTGCCCAATGACAGAGAGTGCCTCGATCACCTCCTTGGGAACTCCAGCGTCCCTGATGGCCCACAACTCAAAATGAGTCCATGGATGCGGCTTTTCAACCAAATTCTACTTTGTGCCTGGCACCGTCCAGGGCAGCCTGGTAAGCATTCTGCCCTCCGGAGAGCCTCACTTCGGTTTTGCCAAGTCTGTTCTGCAACTCAGCTTTTTCACAACAGCAACAACAAACTTGCAGAACGGGCAGCTGGATACCAATTTTCTCCGCCTTCGCTGACTGAGCAGTTGATTTTGCAGCTTCTGCACCGTAACCAAACGCCACATTCCGTGCAAACATGGCAACCATAATATGATGGGTCATATGATCATTCGATGCGCTGAAGGCAACCACGCGGCCGGGTTAGACAGCCATGATGCCAGGTCTTTCATAGGCAGCGACGGTATTGAAAGCACCGGCATGCTCAAGTCCTCTTCACATGCATACAACTCAGCATGAAAGCCACTACCGCCTGATACGAGACACACGAGCTTGGCAAACAAAAAGGTCAAGGCCCTTTGCTAATGAGGTCCTTTGCTGTGAGGTTGCTGCCTTCGTCAGCCTGCAGAGGCTCCAGGTCTTTTTGTGGCGAGGCGAGCAGCATGGCGGCCGCACCTTCCCAAAATGAAGAAGTGCTTTTTGCCAACTTTGGCGTAGCTCTCAGTCTGCTAGCCTGCTTGTGAAACCTTCGCGGCCATTTGCACTGGGGTACAGCTTGGACTGGGATAGCATAGAACCTTGATGCGAGTGAAGGTGCTTCATGCAGACTGCTCTGACTTCTGCTCCAAAGGAAGCTGAGGATGGTGCTGTAAGCTTGGTGTCTGAGCTTGCTGCTGGGAGCTGCAAGTTGCCACCTTACCGTGGTACTCTTAGAACCATTGCCATCTTGAGGTCTTGCGCTCACTCAGTGGGCATGCCTCTCAGCTCGACTTATAATATTGATGGCTGAATTGGAGGGGTAGTCGATGGTTTATCATGGTCATCGTGCGGCGAGGGCACAGCAAGCTCCTGCATCACGTGGGTAAACGAGTGAAGTCCATTCCTGCGGTAGACCTCAGGCAGCAACATGCATTCGTGTTTCAGTCGGCCACGCCAGGAAGTGGCGTTTTCCACTTATGCAGGCATGATTGCCCAGACTGCACGGGGCGACTGTCAGACTGCAACAGGCAATTGCTCTGGAACCCTAACCCAGTTTCCACATGCAAGCTTTACACGTGTGTGTATAAGTCCCCATATTGGTTCGGAACATGAGACGCTCCTCAAACTCTTAGGCCAAGCGGTAGAAATCCACCTCTACATCTCACACCAAAGGTTCGTGTATGACTGCCAGGCCGCTATCCTCCAAGCTCCAAGATGACAGTACACCGGAAAAAGTGGTTTCTCCACTCCTCAGAGGTCAAGCATCTCTGGGCAGCGGTGCAGTTGACATCAACCGTTGCATAATTTTGATGCTGAAGTGGGTTTGATGCCTGATGTCAAATGTCCCTGATCTGGCAATCTGCTGCATGTAGCTTGGATCTTGCCCTGAGGCAGATGGCTGCAGTCAAGGAGCGTCATGCGTGCTGGCTTCATATGGACCCAGGCCATGCCTGGAAAAGCTTCTCATGTTAACGACGCTCTTCGACAGCAGGAGCACGAATTGATCTGACAAACAAAATCTAACTGAACTCGAAAGTCTTGGTCCGTTTTGGAAAAAGGTATGCACGCAGCGACTGCTAACTACAGCAGGCTGGCAGCAACCCTGCTCTACGTTGCATTAATTGCTCTGGACCTGGCAAAGCAGCAGTGATGTGTCTTAGATCTTAATGACTTGTCGCTAATGGTCGGCCGCCTCCTTGGGCTTCGAAGGCCTCCGGTCAGATTGTTCCGAGGGGGTGCAAGTGAAGTCTGTGACAAAAACGAACTGGCATTTTAAGCACCTACTGCATTCCGCTGCAGCTGTTTGTCTCACAGGGCTTCTCTGGCGAGCCTTGACACCAGCCAGCGCAGCCGCATTGATGTAGCTGTCGTCAACCTGGATAGCCGTGTCTGTTCAACAGTGAGCTGGTCACTTACTGCGTAGTCACTCGAAAGCAACTTGTGGCAAAGCATTCAGCTGATGAGACATTTGCTGCATGCGGCCCCTCTACGATACATCAAGCCATGTGGCGCCATGTTCCTTCGCCTTCTTGATCTGATCCCGCATGGATGCTGTGTTTACAGCTACGGCTGCCTCGCAGGAGCACTGCACTGGCCAGGACTACCAACAATGAGATTGTACACCAGAATCACGAGACCATGCTTCCAAGCATCTTTTGGCAACTGGCTGTGCATGAAAAAGCGACTTGCCCCACTGGAGCCATTTGAGGTGTCAAACTACATGAAGCAAAGCTGACATGCATGACGTATGGCCGTGTTGTCATACAGCTATCAACTCCAACGGGCCCAGCAGCTGTACAGTAAACCAGCCCTCGCTTCGTAAAGCCCCAGAATACTGGCTGCCTCTCGAAGCAACCCTGGATTGGACATCTCATAGAGGACCTGCAGCTCCTGCGTACTTACCATCTAGCACACCCACAAAACTCCTGTGTATGATCTCACGCATCTTCAGTAAACCCCGAACCTAAACGAGAACGTTCACCGTTCAATCTCCAAGCCTCGCGTAGACTTTTCAGGATGCGCTCCTGCTCGGAACAGGCAGCAGCTGTTCAAGCTTTGCTGTCACAGGAAGAGGGGGACACAATTAAATTCCAAATGATAATGAAGTACGAGTACCTATTTTGACTACTACTAAGTATCAGTCTTTGATCCTATTAACTTGTCGATAAGGACAGGCATTTTGACAATTACTGTATGCTAAGGCAACTGGTCCTGAACGACGTCCACGCGGGGGATCACGATTGGATCCCAAAGCCGCCTGCCCTTCGATGCAATAGGATTGTAACTATTACCGTTACTGTTGGTGCTACTATTACTATTACCATTATGATTACTATTGCTATACTATTCTCATTGCACGATTACGATTATGGCTATTATCATGACTATTGCGATGAACATTACCGATACAGGAGGGCCAGAAACATGGCAGCTCAGGTTCTGCAGCCATCTGATGGAACGACGAAGAATGCACGGCGCGCGGCCTCATCATTGATGTACTCCACCGTGATCTGCCGGTACTCCACGTGCATTGTAGCAAAGCCGTAGTCCTCTTCATCGTGCTTGAGGTCCGAAATCAATGCATCATCTGCATGCCCACAGCTGGACTCCATGCCCTGCCCGCAACTCCAAAGCATTGGCCTGTGTCTCGTGGAGTGTGTAGGCCGTTCCTCAGATCTCGGTCTGCAACTGTCTCTCAGTTCGCAACCTGCTTCTGCATGTTCACGCACCGAGCCGAGACACCGCCTCCGGCCGACTGGTATCCACCACCGGAGCCGGAGATGATTGCCTCTGAGCTGCTTTGTGAATCATGGCTTTTTCTGATCCAACATATCCTGCTACCTGTTGCTACCTTTTGCTACCTTGCGGGCCTCAATGCCTGATGGATGCCGGTCATGGCGGAGCTGATGGACGTGACCTCTTTTGCGTCCACTTGGCGAGGCCCAGGATTACAATGGAAGGTGACTTGTACCACAACGCGATGGTGCAAAGCTAAGACGGCAGCCTGCCATGTATACAGAAACGCCTCGATCTCGCATCTCTTCCATGAGAGATGCCTCCAAGCAGGGCGTTTTAGCCAAGAACCACTCGGAATTTACAGCGCATCTGTGGGCTCATGTAACCATTATAACTATAAACGCTTCACCTGCAATGGACTGACAGCTTTCAACTGCTCAGTCCGCTACCAGCTTATGGTTGAAATTGCTGCTGCGCACTTTGCTCCTCGAAGTTCTCTGGCGGAGCGTGCCCGACAACCATTTTCCTCGGAAATGCATGGCCAGAGTAGCCTAGTAGCATGGGTGCTCGGGTGGATACTGTGCGTCCAGAAAAAAGGGCAACAACTTAGCATAGCACCCATCCCCAAGAGAACCATCCATGTTTCTCAAGATTTGAAAGTGCTCCTGTGAAAGGGAGATTGCAGCCAAGTGCTACGCACAGTGCCACATCACAAATGAGGTGTGAGCACTTGCAATCGGGATTCTTGAATGTCATAAATTCAATTTACTGAATCAATCTTAAAGCCACAAACCAAGCCATTTGTTTTCAGGATCTGTTCATGATGCCTGAAATGACATCTATGAGGATGGGAAGTCTTAGGTAGTCCGCGAATGAATGCCCACCACGGACGTGTGGATTCTCCGAACGATTTAGGGGGCAATGCTGTGATGCAATGCTCCGTGCCAACCCAGCATCCAGTCTGCTTTGGAATTGTCCAAGGCCGGCAGCAGCCAGTCACGCTGCCGCTTCCACATCTGCATGAAGAAGTCCACGCATTTCTTGGCCGCCCCATCACAGTGTACACTACCCTCTGCATACAGAAAACAAGTCAGTTTCTGTTGTCCGCTGACACTCAACGCCAGGGCATCGCAGTTGAGAAGTACGGCCCGGACAAGGACAAGCATAGCTTCTACGTCCGCCTTCTTTGCCATCATGCAGCAAGACTAGGTAAAGGTCTTGTGTGCAAACACCGACGCAGGTTGGCACAGCTGTAGGAGCTGGGCTCGCATAACATTTTCTAGTCACAAACGACATTTCCAAAGATGCAGGTCCCCCATTCGGACGCCTTCTTTCATGCATGACTCTTGAGCGTGACCTCCTGAAAGAGAGACGCAAACAGAAACACCTCTGGTTCCAGACCCCAGAACTCACATCCTCTTTCCTGCGGCCAGGATTCAGACTGGAACTGCTTGGGGCAATATCCAAAACACTGGCTGGACACCTCGGCTCGACTTACTAGGGCTTAGTAGTGAAGGGAATATAATCCCTACATAATATATTCTCTTATATATGTGTATATATATATATACATGTATACATATATATATTCCCGTAGCCCTGATTAACCACTAGTAAGTCATTAGCATGGGCTGACCATCAAAATCAGCATCAACAACGTGCACCAACCTGACAATGATAGCGTCGGGCTGCTTCTTCTACTGCTGCTGCTACAATTACTGTTGGTGCTATCGTGCTTCTGCTACTCTGAAACAAGGTAACAAAGAAGCCTTGGGACCATGACCACCGCCACAACAATGACAACTAGAGGTTCTCTTCTGATTTCCTCATGCTCCCAGGCAAGCACCTTCAGCTGCCAATCACTACCATATGTGTCAGTGTCAAGGCCTGCGCGCGAGTCACAATCCTGGAATCCTGAAACACATTGCTTCCTGTGCTTTCCGAACCGCGTGCGCTTTGTTGGTATCGATGACGAAGACGTCGACTGTCACGTTGGCTTTGGGGAACTTGAAGCTCTTCATGTACCATCGGTCATTGCCTTATTCGCAGTTCTGTCTTTAGCCAGCTTGTCAACCTCCGATACTGCAACACTCTGCACTGACAGCGCGCTGCAGTCCAGTTTCCTTTCATTGGCAAGACCCATCGAACTTTTTTCGGGCTGGGCCACTGCCAGCCATGTTCCGTGTCATAGTCAATCATTGCCTTGGCGGCTTCAACTCCAAGAAGCCAGCAGCGCGAGGCGATTCTGTACAGCACTGCACCCCTACATGCACCACTGCAAAGTGCTGGCAAGTCCTTGTCCTGGCTCAAAGTAAGCTCTACCCTCATGATATTTTTCACGCTCAGATGCCTGCGAGCAAGGTTTGCCTCTTCTGGGATCGTAGTCGCTGCCGCCGTTCCAAAGGCAATAATCACACTCATGGCCCCCATAGTCATGGTTGCCTTGTGGAACGCACGAGGATGAATGCCACTGCACATCAGACTCAAACGCGCTTTCTTAAACATTTTTCTTTGGGGGGGATTGGGCACAGGCATGTGCGCGCCAAGGAGACAAGAAAGACCTCCAAACTTTAACTTTTTGGCCCAGTCTCCAAGAGAACTCAGCCAGGGAATCTGCAGGCTCTCATCTGGGTACAAATCCTGCACTTCTGCCCGGCAAAATGCAGTTTGGCACGTGCAGTCGCAAGAGCCGCTGCCATAGTCTTATTGGACGCATGCATACCATTTTGCAAAAAGGTGGCAGCAGCCTCAAACATCATGCTCCACTGCTCGTTTGTTGTGCTGTCCACTCCTGAGGCGCGCTCGGATGTACACACCAAACTGTAGCCCAGCATCTGGGAGACTTACACCAGTGTCTATCCCTGCATCAATTTCACTGCCAAATCAAAGCTTCATTCAACCGTTCAACCGTGGGCGCTCGACGGAATGCTCAGGTCGTGGCCAGCCATGTAGAAATTGTCAGCTGTATTGACAACGAAGCTCCTTGCTTGATACTTCTTGACTGACGTCAGATTCAGTGACGTCACACATCGGGGGGGAATGACGATAGTTCAGCAGCACTGAGCTGGATACAGCCACCGTCACGGAGAAGTTACGATTGCCACTTCTTGCAATGGACAAGATACCGTATTACACAAGCCATGCTCGAAGTTCATAGACATAGTTGTAGCGAGGTGCGCATGCACCCACGGCATGTAGTGCATGTTGTTTGGGATGCGGCCAAGATTTGAGTGGTCGATGAAGGAACGGTCGGTGCGCAAACGATTGGTGAGGATGTTCGCAACACAGGCTTCGCACACCTGCCGTTTCCTCAACTACTCAACCTAGTGTATCTCTGTGGCTGATGCTCTCCAGTGGCTGGCATGGCAGCGTTTGTGTGGATACGCCCGGGCTACCATGCTTCGTGGGACGGATAAGTTTCCTATCTGCAGTCGCATTTCCGAGGCGTCTTGGCGTTGCAAGAATTCTTCGTCTTACATTGCTCGGAAAGCACCGCTGCTTGCGTCCCACTTCAGTATGAGTCCCCAAATTCTCCAGAAATCCCACGCCTGCAATGTTTTGTCAGGCGCTTACCTCGAAACGCGCCTTCGGTGCAACGGTCGAAAAGGCACTGCGCACCATGCAGTTGCCGTAGTGCTGTCTTGTGCAAGGTTGCGCAAACAAAACTTGCAAAATCGGCAGCATGCTCTGACTTTCCACCAAGGATCGCCTTTCGCTCCCGTGCCAAGTTTGTCATAGCCGCAGCCACGGCCTGCTGGGCATAATGGTCCCTCCAGTATGCGGGCTTGTCCTCAGGTCACTGACAGCTTAGCCCAAGGGATCTGGAGACACTAAGTGCCGCGTGAGGACAGGATTGCAGCGGTCGTTGTTGGCCGCACCTGGACGCGGAGACGCTGCCCAAAGATTCGTAAGTTTGCAACAACACTCTCCTCGCAAACCGAAAAAGAGTAGCACTGTGATTGCTTCCAAGCCCCGCCTCCTTTGTTCCAACTGCACTCTATGTGCATCGAGCCGCAAACTGGGCGACCATTTCCCCAGGACTTGGCTACCTGCAAATCGAACATGACAGTTTAAGATCCAACTGATTGACATCGCATTGCATCCTGAAGCACTGGCTTCGTGCAAGATGCGGTGGCCGCTGGTTGCACAAAAAAAGAACGTCTTGACTGAAGGCTTTTTACAATTGCAAGAGATTCTACTCAGCGCTCTGACCAGCGGCCTCTGCCGCGGTGATGTCGAGATTTGCTTTTGCCTGCGGAGCTGGAGTTTCAGTGTGACGCTACGAGGGCTCGCTTGCGGCACACTCCTTCAGATGTTTTCAATCGCTGAATTGTGAACACGGCAGTTTGCGTCACATCAGTGAACCGCGGCCTGCTCCCATTCTGTCTTCGAACGAGATCCCGTGAAGCACCAATTATTCCACTGCCTGGAGCAAGCTGGGAGGGATGCATGTCAGGTTTTGGTGGCTGGGAATTACTCCAATGAGATTGTTCTTGGAACTTCTGACCCACATGTGCTCTACTGCATGAATGCTGTAGGGTAGCCTGTATTTGGCGCGATCGAGGATTCACGTGGGATCCGCTCCACTGCTTCAGGACGAATGCTCTCAGGTCAGCGTGTCAACTGGCTCAGCTAAAGTGAGCCTCGATGGCCACAAAGAGCCCATGTTGTCACCAGTTCCTGCACATCAGGTGATGCACACAGCAAAGAAGACCAACGTCTAAGATCTCATATCCAAGTCTACGCTGGTGGCGACACACCCTCACGCAGCCCTGCCACACGAGTATTTCCACAGATGTGTTTGGCCGTCGATATATCCCTCACTTGGGAAACTACCACATGGTTCCCCTACGAAAAAGAAACGAGCAGAAGCTATTTTAGCCTAACACCTCACCTAAAACTAAATTTGGACTTGGAAACCCTGACCAATCAGGCCTCCCTTGTGGCTCCCACTTCTGGGATGGCTCCTCGCCCTAAAATCCTACACTAGAGCCCAAAATCACTAAGGCACTACGCCATTAAGCCGGACGAATCTTCACTTCATCCGAAATGACCCGCCATGCTTGAGGTGATGTTTTGTAGGGAAGTTTAAGGTTTAGGGGTTAGTGGCGCAAGGGGGGTTGCGACAGCACCGCGTACACTCACACAGCAGATCACTCGCAGCAGCAGCTTTTCTCACCCCGTTTGCATCCTCCCGCTCCCCGCGCATTTAGCCGTAAACTGGGAAAGCGTCGCCTTGCAAGTGGGGCCCGGCACTTGGAACTCAGATGTGGCGTGCAGCATTTCTCAAATCTCAAACGAGTCCTTACCACGCATCAGAAGAAGAGGCGACAGCGCCGCAAAGAACATCGCAGACTCCTGTTGATGCAAGTTTGCCCGCCCCGGCAAGCTCTCGGGCCCTGATTGCCATCTTTAAGCTTGGATTTGACAGCGCCTTGGGTCATTCCAGGGGGCTCAGCGCAAGCAACGGCCCAGCTGCGGTCTGGTGAGTTCCATTGCACATGTCCAACGTGACGCTGTGCTGGGGGAAAGCCCCTGATCGGGGCCCGCCAGATCAAAGTGGCAACCCGTGCAACATGCGCTGACTGCAAGCACAAGCTGCAAGCAGATGCGTCTTCCATTTTTTCAAGCGACACTTGCCGCTCGGAAGCCCAGGCGTACATCAAGAGGTAGTATGCTACCACATGCGTGTTAATGACTTCCGCGGCCTTGGCAACGCCAACCTCTGCAATATAGGCCGACCGCTGCATGGGCCGCGCGCGTAGCATGTTCGGTAACAATCCAGCGTTCCCGCTGTCTGTGCAAATGCCCATGGTCCAGTCGCTGATCGTCAGTTGACCGCTTGGTGGCATCACGAAGAGGTCGCGCGTCCCAAAGTGGGAATGCTTTGGCGGTGAGGAAGATCATGGAAGATCAGAGTCTGCAGCAGTTGTCCTAAAGAACTGTGCAAATACCCAGCAGTTGCCAAGCTGTTGTATCGCTCCACTACTGCTTCATGAAAGGTCTTGGTGGGTGGTATAAGCTCCCAAACTGTGTGCGCTTTGCCAGCATGGAAGCTCCAACCAAGTATTTGGTTGAGGGTTGAAGGCAGTCGGCCTAGCCGGGAAGCAGTCTGAGCGTCCTTGATGAGTTCCAGCTCAACCCTTTGATATCCATGGAGACAATCCTCTCGAGCTGCAACATGTTGTCCTTTGGAAGATGCACAGAAAACAGCATTAAACATGCCCTTCAAGTCGGGGCACTGTTGGCTGCAAATCGAAAATGAAAGCTGGGCAAGGAATAAGCTCCTCTTGGAATGGACATGGAAAATCCCAATGCGATTCCTGTTTTGCGCGCGAGCGCTTGTAGTGCAATGCAACGTAAGCTGCGATGCCTGTCAACAATGGCAAGAGCCCTGACAACTCCAACATCGCGTCCAAGCCCAAGCTGGAGGATTCGTGTTTAAAGCATTGCTGAGTGCTGCGGGCACATTTTTTGTAAATACCACATAACGAATTACTGCTTGAGGCTGGGAAGCGAAACTGGGCTCCTTGACAGTGCAAACCATTAAAGGCCTGTTGTGAAGCACACAAATAGACAGCCACCCCAGCCGGCACCATTTTGAAGATGTCATGTTTGATAGTCAAAAGCAAAGGGATACCAAGCAGTCTCATGCGTTATTGGTGCAAGAGCAGCAGCAGGACCGCTTCACTTGCAACAAACATGCATGGCGTGCAAGCTAGCGGCGTGATCGGGCAGAGACAAACTGCGGCAGCAGGTTGCATGATGGATTTGGGAAGCGGTTGAACCCTAAACCTTAAAGTCTACAGGCCCGAACGCGATTGAATTGATACGTTCGGGCCCTGGTAAAGTGGAATCGGTGGGATTGGTTAGGCCAAGGGGTTGGAGAACTAGACAGTACTTACAACCTTTTTGCTTGACGTCATTGGGAATGAATCGGGCAAGGGATGGTCTTCTTGAGGCCGCGAACTTCGTGAGTTGGTCACTGACTCACAAGGGTTGATAGCGCCAAACTTCCAGAGGCCGTTGTTTTGAAATTAGGATTTCGGCTGTAAGGCACCTCAGGACATGTGCTTTTTAAACTTCCGAGGATGTAAAGGCTTGGCGAAATGGTACGTGATCAGTTACGCTTTGAGGGCTAATGTCGACGAGGTTCTGGAAGTGGCCCGGGTTTTGTGAGTTGGGTCGTATTTGGAATTGTTGAGTGATTGGGCCGGTTGAGAATTGGATGAAAAGTGTGTGCGAGTGTTTAGCTGTGCTTTGGGGTAAGGATTTGGGTTGTGTCTTTGGTTTTGGGTTTTAGGCGATTGTTTTTGGTCGTTACTTCGGTTTTGGGCTTTGATATGAATTGGGGGTTAAAGTTGGGGCGGGAGGCATTGGCGAGGGCATAGGCACGAACTGGGGGATGACCCTTGCCAGCTTCTTCAAGGGGTAATCTGTGGAAAGCTGAAGTGCGGGCTGCAGCTTTGCAGTCGAACTCCGCAACCCGATTCAATACCAAACCACTGATTGCGATCAGTCCTGGGAAGGTTCCCCAATCCTGACATTTCCACATGATTATTGACTTCACTTGTGATGCAACGAATTGGACGCCCTGCAAGCTCTTGCAAGCACAAATACACCAGTCGGTGGGCAACTTTCAACACTCTGATGTCACCAAGTTAAGAATCTGAAAGCTAAAGCCGACGAGCAGCACCGATGACGAAGATGTGAACTTCCTAGAGATGCACAGTCCGAGCAAACTCAGATCTTTAAATGTCACGGCCCATGACCTCAATAAAGCGACAGCCAGTTTTGCAAATGTCCAAATACCCATCCCCGGAGCTCACACGCCCCGCTCCTCAGGGTCGCCCCCTGCTGGCGGCTTGGCAGGCAGCGGCGCGCTGTTAAGCCGCCGATGATGCCACAGCTCTTCCTGCCTCCAGCACCGACAAGGCACGTCTGGTGACTGTCTGCGAACTCTGTGAACTCATCTTTGCTAATTATTTGGTTGATCTTCAAGAAAACACCCTTTTTCTTGAAAAGCGGGTGACAGCGTGCTGGCGATGGTACCAAGAACTGCCTAGGCCAGGCAAGGACGCGGGTGATTACGCTACAGTTTGCGGGAAAAATGATCCTCGCAGAAGCGCAGCCCTCGGACAAAAGTTAGTCGCCAGAATCGCCGGGATGTGCCAGGTCGAATTCACCAGAAACAATTGGCCCCAAAGCTTGCTCTCCGAGCTCGCTTGAAAGGCACTCAGCTCTCGCTAGGTCTCGCAGTCTAAGACATCCAAACTGGCTTTCGCCAGGACTCACCCGCGTAGGCACACTTGTCGCCCAGTTCCTCCTCAATGCGCATCAGCTGGTTGTACCTTGGCTTCAGAACACCGAGGGCCGAACCCAGCACCACGGGCTCAACAACTGCTTAAAGCTCCGATGTGCTCAAAAGCCCAACACAGGATCCCCAGCAATGTGACGCGCCGCAAGCGGCTCTCAGCTTGAGCTAAGGGGCTTGGCATTGCGGTCAGATCGGCACGGGGCACCAGTCTTGATCCTGAATCAAATGGTGTGCGCAGGGTGTGGGCAGGAGTGGCAAACAGCTTTAGCATGCTTTAGCCCGCGCAAACCATGAAGACACCATTCACCTAGCATTCGAGTGTCTGCCCGGTGCAAAGGCCGACGGCCAAGTCCGCAATGGTAGTGTCCTCGGTCTCACCGGAGCGGTGGGAGCACCTGAGCGGGGCTGCCACGTTCAATGCAGGTTCCTCTGCTCAGAAAGCCAAGCGCAGCAACAGGCTTTCTCGAGTCTTGCTTGGACGGGCACATGACGCCCCAGCCGTTGGTCTTGCACAGCTTCACAGCCTACCATGACTTGGATTCCAAGTGGAAGAACTGACAGCTGACACGCTAAGGCTAAAACATGAAGTGGAAAGGCGGATCAAAAAGCTACACGCCCAAAACTCCGGGGAGAAAGCACAGGATGACTCTAAATTCTACACTGCGTGCCCACTGTTCCACTGGCAGTACAGGGCGTTGCGGCCTCGATGGACTCGGAGACGGTGCCAATCTGATTCACCTTCAGCAGAAGCCTTGGCATACAGAATAACTTGCCTTGAAGAACGGACCTACTAAAGGTCGTCACAATCTACTGTTGTAGCTGCGCAGCGCGTTGCAAGCCTTGTCGTCGATAGCCTTCTTCACGCGGGTGACATTGGTCACGGTCAGATCGTCTCCGACCTCAGCCAGGTGATCATGGTCGCGCACCAACGCTGGGCTCTGCATACAGTACAATACAATTTCATGGCTTTCAAACGACCGCCATTGCGCCATGCAGCAACCTGAGTGGGCCCGCCGACCTTTGCCGTGAAGCCCGTCCACGCGGCCCAATCATCCTCTGCCAAAAGCTTCGGAATTCTCCCTCTGGGGACACTTGGGTGGGTATCGGTGGGTGAAGGGGGAAACTCCACGGCCCAGGCCTGGTCGAAAGGATCTTCGATGGTGATGAGAGGATAGTTGGCGCACAGGTCCGCGTAGAAGTCAGCTAGCTGTGAGCCAGTCATCTTCAGCTCAGGAGTCTTCTCAGCTTCCTTGCAAAAGCTCACACAGCTCAAGTGGCAGTCCTAATGCAGCAGCCCCGATTCCAGGCCACCATGCAAGGCATTTTCACAGACAGGCAGCGGCATACCAGGTGCCAAGGTCATAGCAGTCGGCGCCCTCCTTGCGGGGGCACCCACATTTTTTCTGTCTTGAAGCTACTGTGTGTGCGCGCGTGTTAGTCAGAGACCATCTGTTACCACCGGGTGCAAAGTCTCCGTCTTGAACTCGGAGGCGGCGACGTCCATGCCAATCTTGCACTTGTCCTTGTACCCAGCTTTCCTTGGCAAAGCTAACGGTCCCCTCTTTATGTAAAAGAACGTGTCTGGAAACACAAAGGGGAAGTGGTTGCCGGCAACCACGGAGTCACGAACTTAGCAAAACCAACAGTCTATGCCAGGCCAATCTTTTTGGGCTTGCATGAACTTACTGGTTGTGGGTGGGAAAAAGGGAATATGACATGCAGGTATTATATAGGAATAATGTTCCCCTATTCCCTACTAAGAACCAGTAAGCAGGCCCAAGCCCTAGTTTCATTGTCTTGTATCCTCCTGTATACTGTCAAGTTTCTCGATGGCCTCCATGATCAATTCCACACCCTGCTTGGCATCGCATGGAGGAGCAAAGCCACCTGGGCCAGGGAAAGTAGTGCAGGTACGGACATGGAAGTTTCTGAGATGATCCAGGCAGAATCCTCACAGCCGCGCCCCATAAACCTAGAACATCTCTTTGATCCCCATATGTTCCTCAAAGGGCAGCGCTCGAGTCGGCTAGAGAGCCCCAACTCGCTGGCTCAGGCTCAGCGGTTTGTTGTCCATCCATTATGCTGCTGTTCGTTTAGTCTACACAATGAGGTCTGGGTTTAGTGTTGGTGATCTCTGAAGCCCGTGCAGGCGGCATGAGGCCTTCATCACCAATCAGGGTAGCATCACCGCCGAACCTGGCAGCACTGGCGTTTCGGATGCAGAGATCTTTCAAAACAACCAGCGTGCAGCACATTCTCACGTTTTAAGGTCTAGCAGCTTCTTCTTGATGATTCCCTTCAGAGTGTGGTAGCACTCAGATCCGATGCGCATGGCATCCTTGAACGAGGAGGCACCAACAGGAATGATGAAATACCTGAGCCGGCAGTTGACAGTGCAGACCAGGTATTGGACACTGTGGGATTCATGCTGTCATCTGCAGCAAGTCCCCAGGACAAATGCAACCCAAGCTTGGCAAGATGCTCTTGGAAGGCGAGCTTGTTGCCTCCCAGGCATGCTCCGCATGTCCACTTGCAGTTCTGCTAGAAGTTGTCTTCTGGCTTTCTGAAAGGCACGCTGACATGGAATATCATGAAGCCGTGTCGGGCATCCAAGGACGTGCCAAAGCCAATGCAAGATTTCCCGGGCTCCTAAAACAAACACGCTGCGTCAGCTTCTGGTACTCTGGGATTTTACAGGCGCCTGCATGGGAGCCGCCGTTGATGACGTTGAAGCACGGAACCGGCAGGGTAAGCTTCTGAGTGTTGCCCGCCAAGTCGGCAAAATGCTGGTACCTCACTTCGTGTTCCATGCTACATCACTTCTGTATACAGCGCCGTGAGCTTGAAACGGACTTTATCCGCAAGCTTCTTGCATCTTGAACCCTCACCCGCCACAATCCATCGCAAGCTAATGACTGTTATTTACAACGGACTTTCTGTGTGCAGCATGCAGCTAGCAATTTTTGACAACCCAAAGCCGACAAGTTTACTATCCTGCCGGGTTGCAAAGGAATTCCCTTGGCCTGTGCAGCAGCCTTGGCTGCTGCCATGGAAACACCGAGGATTGCGTTGGCGCCGAGCTTGCTCTTGTTTGGGGTGCCATCCAGCCTTACAGCCGCTTGGCATAGCTGTTTCGGACACGCCTTCGCTACATGTTGGCCGTGGAGACTTTTCCTCACCGGCGTTACGGGGTGCACTGGGGTCAAGCGAGCTCACTCTCATGTGGAGGAAACACGCAGTGGAAGGCGAGGAGCTCAATCATCTTGTCATCCAGTTCCTTCTGCTTGGACACGTCGAAACCCTGCATAGGTGTATAAACACGTTGAGAGCGCGTGTTACTTTATTCTCATACACCAGGAGGCAGGAGGAATTAGCTCCTTGCATGAAAAGCACAGCCACCATCACGAAAACCGAACTGGTGCAGCCTTCAGGGACGCGTTCAAAACCGTGTTCACGGACTCCACGGCCTTGAGAACCTGGGCTGGATCTTCAATCACAGCAGCACCATGCAATTTACTGGTCTTGATGATGACAGGAAAGAACCAGGACCTTGTCCAAAATGCAAGGAACCGCCGACATGAAACCTGTACATGTTACGTTTTCCAGAGGCACCAGGAAGGTTGACGCAAGTCTGTACTAGTGACAGCTCCAGTGAGCGTGCCCAAGCAAGGTGTCAGCCAGGATGCTCCTTTGCCGAGATAGCGGCCCTTGTCTCCGTCTCGAAGCTCGCAGGCCTGTACAAAGTTACTCGGAAGCAGCGGTGCTAAATCGAAATATGGCGATCTTCATAGAATGAGGGTCCTTAAGAAAAGGCTCTCTAACTCAATGAGCCTGTCGAGCCACTTCATGTGACATCGTGACTGCTTGGGAATGCCATGTTTCATGTTGAGATACTTTTGGCCGCTTATGCTGAGTGCTAGGTAGATGAGGTCAAACGCAAATTCTTCGCCCTGGTGGTTTCATCTCGCTTTTTCGGAGCGTCTCGCAAAACATGTCACCTGTAACCTTGGACCAACGACCTGTGTCTTCACGCAAGAAGGTAGCTGACAAAACCTAACGCCAAGTTCCTTCCCCCCACACACACACACACACACACACACACACACACACACATGCGGCATTCTCCTCTTGGCAGTCTACGTAACCTCCTGCCCCCACAGGACACTAAGCTCAATACCGAACCGGCCTCGTGGACGCCTGTGGAGGCACCGCTGGGCACTGCGGCGGTGACTGTGACGCCACCCTCGGTCATGAGGTCCACCTGCAAGCTTGCTTGCTGCTGAAGCTTTGGATCATGAACCGTAGCAAGCGAAAACTAAATCTCCTGTTGCACTTCATACCACGGCTTGACGTAGATGCTTCTCCTCCCCGGCATCTGCGATCCATTGAGGCCCACTGAAGTCTGCAGTCCACACCAGGCTGAAGGTTGCGCAAATTCATGGGACTAATGTGGGTAGTTTCCAAAAGAAGGATCCCATTTTGGTACCCCTACATATGAGGTGCCGTAAGAAAACCAAGAGGGGCCTATAGTTTTGAGAACAACTCATGTGCTGAAAAAGGTGGGCAGGTACCGGGAGTTGCTTACCTCTCTTGACTGGTATTCTGCCTCCTAATAGCATTACTGAGTCAGAGTCACTACGTTGGGTGGCTCTCTTGCAATCTGTGACTCCGGCCGAAATTGTGACGGATACGCCCCAATACTGCTCGGTTTCATACTCCGATATTGTGTTGCACCCTGCGCAACCCTCCTACAACCAAAGTGAATGACTCTCCTGCCTCAACGGTGGGGTTGCCGCGGCTGTCCAAAATCTCGCGACCCTTCAACTCCTGTCCAGGGGTTTGACATGGGAAGATGCGGGATACTTTCACGCATAGGATTGCCGATCAAGATACCCCCAGAGCATCCAACATCAGTCAAAAGCTGGCTGGTTTCACGAGCGGGCCTTGATCTTGAACATGCTGGCTGACACGGCTTCAATCGCAGCCTTGTCTGATACATTCTCAGATGGGACAGGAAGAGTTCCACATGACTTCTTGGCACTGCTCACCTTGCAGCATGTGCAAAACCTGCTCATGCTCCAATGATGCCTCTGCATTTTGTGCAACCTTGGTGCAGAAAGGTCTGCTGCGCCAGTGGCCTTCAGCGCATCCAAGACAGCCTGAGCCACAAAATGCGGTGAGACGGCCATCCCATACCAATCATCCCGGGCAGCAGGAGTCTAGAAACCTTGTCTGACAAATGCTTGCAGATACCCTTGCCTTCGCCATTCTTGCAGTGAGCAGTCTGTGGAGGCGGACAAGTTTTTGCTGAGCAGAAAATGCTGCGACGATGCGCTGAGCTCGCAAACTTGTCAAAGCAATTCGTGTGACCTTCTCTTGAAGCTAGCCGCAGCCCAATGCTGTCAGCAGGGTTTTGCCTGGTGCTGACGTGTTTTGACACATGTCTTAACCCAGGCCTGCCACTTTCGTATGCCTCATACCAGAAGTCTGGCAGTGGCTCGTCTGAGTGGCTTGCTGCCTGCCAGTGTCTCTGAACTCCAGAAAGCCATGCGAAAAAGTACCACGTCCCGAAAAGTCTGAAACGAAGGCAATTCATCTGAAAGGATGCGTGGAAGGCTGAGTTGTCAGTTTCTTGGTGCTCAGGAAATGGCAAAACATGAAGTTCAACAATCGCTGCTTGCAATGCTGCTGCTTGACTTGGCTGGACGCTTTTGCTGTCCTGCTTATTTAAACATTGTATATACTATAGTGGTTTCCATTCTATTTCCCATTACCTATATAACCCCTATATACTATAGTAGTTTCCATTTTACTTTCCATTATCTTTCTGAGGCATGGCAGCCTGGAAGCCCGTCGCCGCAATGAAGCAAATGCGAAGCATGGCTGCGAAGCTCGCAAAGCTGTAATTCAAATCTACGGGCCGTCTGTTCCATTGTTTGCGAAGTATGGATAATGTTGCAAACTGCATCTGCTGCGAGTGTGCTACAGCAAGGTGCTCAAGGCTTTCTGATGGGGTTTCTGGAATTGAGACAGGAGTTCTTCAAGCAGTATAGTACTTAAAGCGCTTTCCTTGGGATAACGGATCTTGCGCAAGTGGTTCGCAGCAAAAGCCGGTGCATGGCCAATCAGCACATCGCATGAAGCAGGCGAGGTCGAGGTTGGAAGCTGTAGCATTGTTACATTCCTGCATTGCCGGAATCAGGCCTTTCCACAGATGACAAAATCTTCAGCTGCCCGCCCAACTAATATACAGAATCAATTCTTTGAATGGCCGGCTCCTGTCGACACTCGTATGCGGAATCTCCTCGAGCAGCTTCTGGAGATGTGCAGCCTTCTGCGATGCTTGTCACCCATTCAGGTTCAGAGCAGCTTGCCCCGGTTCTCCTAATGGCTGCAGCTACCCAAACACATCAGGGCAACAGCTTTGCCATTCCTGAGAGTCACGCCCAGGCGGCAAACTGCTCCCCGTCGGACATGCCAACTCCATACAAACCCTCAAGTTCCTGAGGCAGGCCACCCTGCTCACAAGAGTCATCTCACTCTGTGGCCTATGATCAAGTCCTAGCCAGCGTTTTGTGAGTGATTGCTGCGCATGGCGACATAGGAGGCTGAAAGCTTCTGTCAGGAAATCCAAGTTGAGCAAAGGACACATGCTGCGCCTGGGGTGCCTCGCTTGAATGTGGTAGACAGCAAGGTGCCAGCACGCAGCACCTCGAGGAGGATTTCCGAGGAGGAAATGTGGTGATGGCAGTCTCTTCTGCAGGGTTTAGCTTCTAGTTCTTGTAGAGGACCTGCAATGTTTAGAGACATGTTGCAGCCGTTGAGGACAGGTAAAGCTGCAGTGGGAAGGTTTACCAAATACCACCTACCAGATCCTACCAGCTTTCAAGTCGGATTTGCGCTCAGTCCCTAAACAGAACGGATCCCTTGATAACGATGATTGGGAGTCTTGCTCTCTTCGGTTCAAACGTCCTGATTCAATCCCTAAACCCTAAACCCCGATTCAAACCCTGAGGCCACGGCCGCACCAAGTCGATGCTGCGGAAAGCATTTATGGCCTGCAAACTCCTGTCACTAGGCCAAGCGCAGATCAATTCAGAAACTCAACGGAAGCTTTCAAACATGGGATTCCGTTTTGCAGGGCAAGCCACACAAGTATCTTCCAAAACAGGAAACCTTCACATGCTGGTTTTCACATATAGGGGGACCCCAATATACTATAATCATAGCCAACTCCACAATTGTACCCTCCAATTTCAGAAACCTCCATGCCGGCAGCACAAGCGGCCGCAAAGATGCATTGCCAGGATGGCTGTAGGCCTGCCAATTTTTTTACTATTCTGGGGGTTTCCCAAAATTAGGGTACCTTTTTGGGGTCCCCATAATAAGGATTATAATAGTGATTATAATATATTGGGGTCTATATTGGGGTCCCCTAATTTAGGGAAACTACCTTATGATTATGGTTACTATCATTCCTATTAGTCTTACTACTATTCTTGTTGTTATTGGCTGCGGAATTGATTTAGGATCTTGTTTTTAGTGTTTGTTGTTTTTGTGTTTTTCTGAACAGTCACAGGGATTGTGGAGGTCGGGGTCACGATCCTCGTAACTGTGGTAGCGTTTAGACCCTCTGGGAGTTTCAAAAGGGGTGAAAACACATGTGAAAACATTAAACATGCTGAACAATGATGACTCAATCATGAAAACTGATGAGTCAATCAATCATGAAAATCATGAAAACATGATGAGGAATCATTGAGAATGATCAACATGATGAAAACCGATGAACTTCCATGAGAAATTATGAAACAAATGAATTAAGCATAAAAATGATGGAGAATCACGAAAATCATGGAAAATGATGACAAGTGATGAATCAATCATGAAAATGAGGAAAGACAATGAAGACCTATGGAGATTATGAAAAATGATGGATCAATCCTGAAATGATGAAAACTGACGAAAATTGAAACCCGATGAAATGATGAAAAAGAACATTAAAATGATGAAGTTCAAATGAAGCATGGACGTAGTCATTAGTCGTCGTCGTAGTAGTAGTAGTAGTAGGAGGAGGAGTACGCGCGCTTTATGTATTTGAC